CCCCAAAACCCCAAAACCCCAAAACCCCAAAACCCCAAAACCCCAAAACCCCAAAACCCCAAGTTAAGTGTAAAGATTGAATCCTAAATTTATATTCTGTATATTATTTCGTGTTAATTTAAGAAATGATGCAAAATTGAGGAGGTAATTTTAAGCAGTATGCCCCACCAAGATCTGCAGGTGAATCCAATAAGGCAGCCACATTCAAGAAAGGCAAAGAGAGAAGGCCTGATTCGAGACTTTACTTAAGAAAGATTACAGAACAGCCTAAAGAACCTTTTGGTAAATCAATTGGCTTAAATGGTTATGAGAGGTTTGATAGTGACAAAATTGATACAAGGGTTGGCGATGGCAAAGAGTTTGAAACTCAGCGTTATTGTGATGGACATGATAGGCCAACAACTTCTAATGAAAAAGATCATTGTCACAACCAGCCTACCCTATCGAATAGATCTCGTAATCATAAATCAAGAGAGAATCGAGGAATCAACTTCACACTTAACTCACAAATGAATCATAAGAGAATCAAAGGTGTGTATAGATCCCATTCATCCAGACTCATCCAGATTTTGTCTAACTTCTTCATAGAGGAAACTCATGAGAACAGAGAGAAAGACAATGGCTGAACTTACAGTCAACCAACTGTACATCCAAGGTTTCAGTTCCCTACTAACAAGCTGTCTTAGAGATGATGTATCCAGTGATTCCGATACCAGTCATGAATAATACTTTTCAATACTATCAGCCGATGTATAACCTGGTTCCTTCAGAAGCCTTTCATGATGGGTCCAATCTGAACGGGACTTCAAAAGGAATGGTAAGACTTCCCTTTTGACTTGCTTGCTATAGTTTATGAACAACATCAAAGAAGAATACATGGCAATGAACAAAATATCCCATGTTGACCAAACTGTAGGTCATTGAGCACCTCCAATGAGTCAAAGGTCTACAGGTTTAGAAGGGATGTGATCAGTTAGTACGACTTCGTATGGAAACACTGAAATTGTAGGTACCATTACCATTTCTCTTCCAATATTGCATAGTTTTACTCATACTCAAAGTCGCTTAATTGGTGTTAAAAGCCAAAAGTGTAGTCTCTCATTCTCGATGTTGCTAATACTTTAGATATAGGCTGACTCAAATCCAAAGAATTTGAATATCCAAAGCCAGTAAGCAGTTACCCTTTACACCTGATATAGAAGAAGTACATCAGAAATGTACCAAGAGAAAACCTTAATAAAAATAGACGTGTCTAGTATCCAGGCCATATGTTTTGAAGATGTCAAAGAAATCAGGGAGAAAATAGATCAAATTTTTGCACCTCAAAACGTCAAGATGATTTGAAAACGTGCTGAAAGAGTATATGCTAATGGTTACTGAGTTTTCGTACTATATTGTAACAAGTGAAAGAAGCGAAGACCATCTTATAAGAGCAATAAGTGTTATAAATAAGAGAAGCACAGGGTGCCAGTTCATGCTCAAATTTACAAAACACCAGAATGAGAAATACAGACTCACTGATGGGGTATTCCAGCATAACCATTTGTTGACAACCCCTGTATTAGATTCGATGATATTAAACCAAATTGATCAATTTGATCCGACAACAATCAAGCCAGCTTATGTACGGAAGTATATTAACGAGAAATTCAACAAGGATATCTCATATGCTCAGATTGCTTATGAACTCTCAAAGAGAAAGAAAAAGGTTAAGAAGGAAACACAAAACTTTACCGCTCAGGATCTTACAACACAAGAATTTCCTTCCGAAGGAAAGATTTTTGTGCAAGAGAGAAATAAGAATATATGCAATGCTATGTACTTCAACGACAAAATATGAAGAGAGGTCCTTCTGATTCATAAGGTCCTAAACGCTCTGCTTCTATTAGGATTTGATGAGAAAGCAAACATGTATCTCCACTCTTTTGTGGTGCTGGATAACCACCAAGAAGAGGATTACCTATGGGTCTTAAAAACCTTCCTAAGCCAGAACAAGGTAGTTCCTAGAGTAACTATTATTGATTACTATGAGTCGCTCAAGAATGCCTGCGAGTTGATACTTCATGGAACCAAGATCATCGTATCTCCTTGGAGTTGTAAATAGACTGGAGAAAATGTACTTCCAAGAAAGAGGTGAGCTATCCAAGATTACTTATAGACAAAGATTGGAATTTCAACCCGTGCCTTGTTCGTCAGTTTAAAGATCTGAGTAAAATGAAGCAAGAGTATAACACACAAGTTGTAGCAGACCTCCTTGAAACACTTTGCTTAAAGGAAGAAGTTAACCTTGAAAAATGTGAAACTCCTTTAATTATAAAATAAAATTCTGGAAAGTTATTATCATTGTAAAGTCTCTAATAACCTCAGACCAACATTTGATGACTCTATTTATGCTGAACAGCCAGAATATAGTGTTCAGAAAAATAATGACACAGAACCTCAAACTGAAAATGTTGTGCAGAACAAGACTGATCTAAATCCTAAATAAGTCAAATATCGCTCACCAAATTGTTAAAGAGTAAGTTTACCATTTGACCAATGTAGCAAAGATTGTGAACTCGAAATCTCTGATAAGTCTAAGCATTATGATCAGCAAAGCGTACAGACTTCTAGTTCAAAGAGTAAGTTACTAAAGCCATGATAGAACATCTAGGCTTTAGCCATACCTTTGTTGTTTATAGTATTTAACTATTTGTTATAGCCCATAATGCTTTGTTTAGCTCATTCAACTGCCAAATGCTAAGATCACCAAAGTCTGGTACGAAAATCCCCAAAGGAATCTTACAAAATGAGGAGTCAAATCTTAAAAACTCTACTACTAAATTTTTACTAAAGTCAAACTCTTATGGGGACCTGAGTGAACCTGAGTTTAGAGGAGGAGAAGTAGGGAGTAACGAAAATTCGTCAATATTATAGCCGGGTTTACTTCTATGAACTCGCCTAAGATGGAGGTACCTCCCTCTCCAGAGACTCCTAGATCCATGTTTCAGAGTATGAAGAGCTCTATTGGAAAGTGTAGCACCAAGTTTTTATTTCCTTATAACCTTAATAAGATAAACACCAGGCAGAAGGATGAAGAGGAAGGAGACTCCTTATTGGTCAATCTTGATCCTGAAGAATTATATCTTCGAAAGCAGTCTCCTGTTTAATACTTGGAATTTAAGAAGTAATTGATTTACGAAAGAAGCTGGAATTGGATTTTAGAGACGTTTTGAGGCATTTTTGATGGATTTTGAGTAGATGGAATTGGATTTTGTATCTGGGAATATGTGCTAGGTTTTGAGAAGATTTAAATTAGGAGAATCAAGAGGGAGAGACCTGTATTGATGAGGGTGTGTTTGAGTGAAATAATATCTTTGTATCTTGGGTGCATTTTTAGTATTATTTCAATACAGTAGATACCAATTGGGGTTTTGGGGTTTTGGGGTTTTGGGGTTTTGGGG